GTTTTTTTTTTTTTTTTTTTTTTTTTTTTTGCAGTGCTGGGTATTAGACCCACGGTCTGCTACTGAGCTACACCCCAACTCAACTGTTTTTGCCACTGAGCTACATCCCCAGACATTTTTGTTTATAATGTCTTTTGTTTTGTTTTTCAGGATGGCCTTGAATTTGTGGTGATCCTGCTGGTTCAGCCTCCTGAGTGTTGGGATCATGGGCATGTGCTACTGCAACTGGTCTTTATGTCTTCTTGGTCCTTAAGAAGAGCAACGATTTCAGCACAGGCTGAGATTTCATTTTGGGTCAATTTATGTAGCTCAGGCAAGAGCTATATTTGTGGTAAATTTGGACGGAATCTCACTGTGTTATTTAAAACAATTTAAAAATTAATTGGGAAGGTCACTATGTAAAAGCATCCTATAACAAATCCTCTCATAACTAACATACCCACTTGCTTCCTAGCATTTGTTTAACTTTGACCTCTACTGTAGCTGGTTTTTAATGCAAAGGAGTCAGAGTTGAGAGGTCCCCTTTGCTCATCTGTAGTCTCTCCTGAATCAAGGATTCCTTGTGGAGTTTGATTTGCTTAAAAGCATTGAAGGCACAAAGCTTGGTATATGTCATAAGCCAAGTAGTCAAACACAGGGTTAGCTATACATGTGAAGCAGAGAAATCTTGACCCTGTTATATACCACCATTCTTCTAGCTTTTGGGGGATAGCCTCTGACTCTTACACATCTTTATTTTTGAATATTCACATGATCCCAGACACCAGAGGATGCTGCCTCCCTCCCTAGAGGGGTTACTTCTTTTATCTCCTTGTCTAAAACTCTCTAGATGAAGGCAAGGGTCTCATCTTACTGTTTTTGGAACCCTGAAAGGCCCCAAAACTGCTATCTTTGGTTAGTTTTTTTCTTGGTACTGGGGATTGAACTTGGGTCTTTGCGCTTGCAAGGCAGGCCACGGAACCGCTGAGCTAAATCCCCAGCCCTGGTTAGTTTTTTTCTTCAAAGGCCCATAAAGCAACTTTGGCAAGCTCTCCGTCCTATTCTTTTTTTGAGACAAGGTCTCACTTTGTAGTTCAGGCTGGCCTCAAACTCATGGCAATCCTCCTGCCTCAGCCTCCTAAGTGCTGGTATCACAGTCATGTGCCACCATGCCACAGGACATATATAAAGTCCCTGCATATTGCTTGAGCATAATGGGCCTATGATGATGGATTCTGAGCCCTTTCTCGTGTGTAAAGTTCCTTTTACCCCGAGTGTTCTGACACAACAGCTTTACCATCAGTGTCCTGTCTCACTGCCGCAACAGACTGACTCATTCACTACTGACTCTAAATTGCCCCTGCTTTCTTTTCAAGACAGGGTCTCACAATGTATCCCAGGCTGGCTTCAAACTCTCAATTCTCTTGCCTCAGCCCTGTGCTGGAATTACAGGCATGCCCCACCACACCTGGCTCCCCCAGCTTGTTTTAAAGCTGGAAGAAGACATTCCGTTTTGGCCTAGACAGTGGTTTCTACTTTTTCAGGCCTAGCAGGCCTAGCTCTCACATGCAGGTATGCACAGTGTAGCAACTACTTACTGAGTTACTAAAAGGCACCTCTTAGGGAATGAAATAACAAACTTCTGAAAACCTACAAAGACTTTTTGTTGATATGCTCTTTGCTTCTACTCTGAGTAACTTTTTAATCAGGTTCAGAGAATTTTTTTTTTTAATAAGGATTTTTAAAAAATGGGTCAGTACCTCTCTACAAATGCCCCAGGAATTCTTTAAAGCTGGTTTTGCTAACATGTATTCACTTTTGATTTCTTTTTTCTTTTGGTACTGGGGATTGATCAGGTCTTT